GCTTTCTTGTAGTCGTCGACGGTTATGTATACAGGGAGCAGGAATTCCCTCGCGCGCTCGATCAGCTGATGAAGGAAAATATGTTATCCGTTGTGCGGCTGCTCCTCAGAATCCTACCTGCTCTCTTGGTTGCTGTTCTTTCAGACTTGTTGACAGTTAAGATAATAGGATATGGACTTGTTTGAGCAGACAGATTGAGCGAGAGTTCTTCAAATAACCTTTTTCGCCTTTCTTGAACAGCACAATTGTTTGACTCATTCTATCTTGATGGTATTCGTTTCACGCCAGCAACTGAATGTTTAAACTAGAGCCTCCATAGCACCTGACTCCTACTCTGATCATTTATATTGTCAATCACTTCTAAGAATAAGAAGGGCACTTCTCTTTCGCTGTTGGAGTGATGGTGGTGGTGGGGGGGGACGATGGATGTGAGTCCTTGTAAACTTCTTGCAGACAGACTGCATCTCACATCCGTGAGACGTTCATGCGCTATTCCCGTTGTTCAAGCATCAACTGGTCATCTGAAAAAGCACTAACTCTCTCCTACATGGCATGAGGCTTCTGCGGTCTTTAGACTTTTTCACTAATTTTCGCAATCGGGAGATTTCTAAATCGTTCTTGCGCCTCCGCCTAACGAGCAATATGAAATTAAAAATTTTAAATAAATTCACAATCATTCAAAAAATTTAAAACAAATATTCAAAGCCGTGAAGAAGTTTCATAGATTTTCGTTAAGAAAAGAGAGTTCTTAGTAACGAACAAATGGACAAATTATCAATGTTGTCTAACTAGCTTTTAAAATATCAATGCTTTCAGTTCGATCCCCAAGCGATGGTTGGCATCATTTCAGGACTAGCGAACATGTTCAAAGGTTTTCCGAAAGAAGAACTTGAAATGGACAAGGCTTTAGGTCGCTGGCATCAGGTATCCGATAATATTTGCCTATTTTTTTTACACAGCTGTGTTAACAGATGTACAAATCTTCAATCAACCTGGACGGGTCTCAAGAGAGCGTCTACTGTGAAGTCGCATACTGTAAGTTTGGTGCCTTCTAAACAGTACGTTTTCAAACAAACATAGATGATTTAGTCGATAAGAACAGGGTGATGGGTGAGGGCGGAATGTCAATGCTGGAGGCGTACAGAACGTCCTCGAAAGATGGCGAGTTACACACCTTCAAAAGAGATCTCAGTAAATCCGGTCCTGGGGAATACTGGATGTTCACCGAAGACTATTTCTATCCAAAGCAGTGTAAAACTTCATTGGAACTCAAGCTCTAATTATAACTGGCTGCATCTATTTAGTCTTCATTTACAAACTGGGACCGGTGAAAAACGGTTTATACGAGTATTTCATAGCAACGGATTCCAACCGGCTTTCGTTGATGGTCTTTGCTCGAGATCCGCTCATCTTTCAGCAGCAATATGATTCGCAGGTTCAAGAACAACTGTCCAAGGGGGGATTTGGCGGCTTTTCGTTCTGGAACAGGCCGTCGTTGATCTATCAGAACATCGACTGTACGTATCCGACGCAGAACGAGATCAAGATCCGTCGAACCATGTCTAAAGTAAACGAACCCAAAAGCAGTCACGCACCCGCCACCCCACCGTTGGACAGCACACTGAAAAAAGCCGGAAATTACGTTAAGCTTCTGTTCGGAGGCTAGCTATTTGATGTTACGTGTCATTAATGTAATTAATTACATTTTTTATAAATATATGCACATTGTTGAAATTGCTGCCAAGATTTAGTACTTGTAAGTAAAAAAGTACGCTGATCAAGTGCTAAAAAGCCATAAACTCAACCTCCTCAACTTATACAAGGCACCACACCCGACAGTTTTTACCACTGCGCCAGTACAGTCAGTCTTTAATCAATCATTTCACAGAAACACGCAGGGCATTATGATCATAAACATACATATAACCAACAGTAATTGCCACTGATTCCCTCGATGCATGAAAATTTCTGATGCATAATGTCTATTTCACCAAAAACAAGCCAGGTCCAGCAATACAACAGTCAGCTGCGGAACTGTCCTACTACCGTAAGCGTCTGTTCTGAAATAAACAGTTTGTTTGGAAGGGTTTGATGCAAATAATGAGATGCGTCCCCCTAACACCTTTCTTGTACAGCGTAGATTATTCGCAAAGACATTGTCAAGAACGGCTGAGTAGCTAACCACTGAAACTGTAAATGGACGTCGCGACGGGTACAGACAATGACCAATCACGACGAATCCGCTGCTGGACATTTCTGCAGTAAAGACGGGTGTAACACACCAGGGTAGAAGCTAAAAAAATGCACAGAGGCCAGCGCATCAACCCAAGGCGACAGAGACCATTGACCACACATAAACTGACAACGGCTCCAGCACCTAGACGTACGCGGCATCATTCGCTACGCAGTAGCACAGTGGGCAGTGGTTGGTCTTGTGCCTAAGAAGTGAAGGGTTAAAATGGCATACTGTCTCCAAAATGTTCCTTATCAACTGTCAATTTCATTGAACAAGAATTCACCCCGTTGCACAACAAGCAGCCTAATTTAAATTACTTAAGTAAGCGTCACACTGTGACCTGAAAAATCCTCTCACTACTGCTATATCAGAAGGAGACTAAGAAAAAGCCTATTCCAGCGAAAGTATAATGAAGTGCAACGCTAATAAGCTTGACAGTGCTGCAAAGATTCGTGTAACAAGCACAATCTCAATGAGATATTCGCCAAAGCATCTGACCAGCGCTGTCAATCACGAGAGAAACGTCTAAGTGACCATAAAGTAATCTCTTTGGACGAATATAAATGCGAGAAATGGAAAAGTAGAGTATTTAGGCCTCGCATGTTCCTCACTTCAGAGAACCCAGACATTCAGAGCCAGTATCGTCTACGACAAGATACTCACGTAGAGCAAATTTCTCAGGTATTGATTATGAAATAACTTTGGGCATTATTTTCATTCCATCTTGTGATCGCGATGCAAGGCTGGTGGTCATCGATCTATATTCCCCGCCCCCACAGAATGACTTATTCTGAAGCGTGGACGCATTAGCACAAATTGTAGTCCTCAATGGTAGCCCTTCAGGTGCTAGTGCTACTGAATTTTGAGAAATGTAAAAGAAAAGGAAGAAGGAGAAGAAGACTGACGATGGGAGAAGAGCACGAACAGAGATTTGCCATGTCATTGAAACAGCAAGGAAATGTCAGTTGACTTAAGATTTGGCAAGAAAAGCAATTCATTAGAGGATCAAAAGGATACTAAACCGAATTCTACGATATTGCAACTGGCGTTTGACTACTCTTTGAGATTTATCAGTCAACTAATCAACAGTTTTTTAGTAGCATGTGCAACGTAGACGCTGTCTGCAAAACGACCATATTGAAATACGTTACAAAAAATAATATGATAAATGTTCAAACTGTTTAAAATAAACCGTTTGGATTTTTTCCGTTTTCTACACGTCTTCAGAAGATATGGTAAAAATGGACGGCAATGACAGTAGGTTCTGGACAGAATCATACAAGTTACAGGAGTTTCAAATCTGTTTCACAACCGTAAACAACAGTGGCAACAACAGACAAACAAAATTTCATAGCAAAGTTAGAAAAGGCAGTTCCTCCGCATGATGACGATGATGAAAATGTTCATTATGTTTGAGGAAATAAGACAGCGCTCCTTGAGAGTGCTTTCTGCTTAACAAAATATCCCTCTGATAAAAGGAAATCCATGTCATCAGGGCATAGATTTCTAGATTTTCACTTCCATAGATGAGAAGATGTAAAATCAGCATGTCCAGAGCAAATTCCATAACCTTACACATTTCACAAAGGAGTAATGAAATAGTGTCCAAGAGGTTGGTTTCAAATTTTGGAAGTGCCAATTGCAATTACGGCGAAGGAGGAATCATTTTCTTACAAAGAATTCATTTCAGTGAGGAATTTACCAAACGTTGCCTTACACGAGGGTCATTCCAACGGATCAACATTGCACAACCAGTGATATCATATTCATATGAAGTGGATGATAATTATACGCCGGTCTATGTCAGCTTACACCATATCTGACAGTGAGCATCGATTACCTCAACGAGGCCTCGTATGTCAGTCTTCAATACAATTCAATTATTTCATTATCTAATTGAGCATTAGGGAATTCGAAAAAAAATTTTTTTTATGAAGGTACTATACTCTTGGTACTTCTTCGAATGGAAATGAACTTCAGTAAAATAAAATTAAAAAATGCATTATATGACTAAAAGTGAGGTTGCCGACCCTCATGAATGAGTGCAACATTGAAGAAAGATGGCGATGTAAAGTGACGCGGCAAGGTCTACTCAACAGAAAGCTATGAATATAACGAGAGTGGCTTGGAATGCATTTCGAAGCAGCACTCAGCTGTAATGGTCATATTGAACTTTTGACCTTGTCAACAGGTAACATTGACACACTGGAGAGCGCCGATCGTCGGCGGTGACGCACAACGATGGTGCAAGTTCTGCGTAACTGTGCGTATGATGGCCCTCATCAATGCTCAGTCGGTGTTGGGCTACTCCATCAGTGCGAATCGAGTTCGACAGGTGAAAAAGGTGAAATGTCAGGTCGTTGACCCAGTTCCGCCTGATCCGTCTCGTGATTCAAATGCCGTTCCTTCAGCACCAGCATAATGTGCCTTTTAAGACACCCGCAGCCGTAAGCGCAGTACCGGTGCGCCATTACAGGAGCCATGAAGTCATCGATGCTGTCCGTGCTGCTGTGGACTTGTGCCATCGACTTGCAGTTCGCAGCTTCATCTGAGACGAAGATGTTTCCCAAAGCCAAGGTACCCGATGACCTGGTCAGTTACTTTACATTCACGAATCCGAAGGTGCAACGCATTCTTGAAGACTATTTGCCGGGGGTGATCCCGCCAGCCGACTTTGAAGTGTCCCCGAACGCGCCGCAAGGCAGAGCCATTGCCGCGGCCAACACCCGTCCGGACTCTGGTCTTCCAAGGATCATAGAAAAGGCCATCGAGTTTGCAGATTCGGCCGTTTCTGGCCAGCAAACAGCTAAGGACTCTTCCATGGTGAAGAGCAACCGGTCGTCAATCGCCGGCATACCGGACGTCTTTCCTCACTTGCCAAAGGCACCGATTGCGGAGCCAGCTGCAATTGCCACTCCTCCAGCCGCTTCCTTACCTAGCAGACCAATAGTTCCTGAGGGAGGCTTGGGACCACTCGCGAAACTGTTGGAACCGCTTAAGAAGACAGCTGACCAAAACTCGCAGTTGCCGGTGTTTGGAGACACGTCGTCTACGTTGAACCTGGAAACTGCGGAACTGACACCTGATTTGTCCTTCTTGCCTAACAGTGGGCTACTGAAGACGCAGGGTAAAGCTGCGACAGGAGAGGAAAGAAAAAAGATTCAAAAGACTGCTCCAGAACGTGAGATTCCCATCCCAGAGCCCCCTCAGCAAAGTGGCGGCCTGACATCGCAGATTTTACGAAGCATAGGCCTCGGACAACTTGCCGACAGGATCGATTACACGGAACTAAAATCCGTGATTGGCCTCAATCCACCAGATAAAGAAGGAACGAGTGTTCTCAAAGGAACACTGTACAATATTCTGGCTAACCATGACCCGCTGCAGCGAGCTAAGCTCTGGAAAAACAATACGAACGCGATGGTGCTTGGAACCAACCTGGCTTTAGTTCAAAATTTGTTGAACCTTCCAGAAAGCCCGCTTTGCCAACCGAAGCCACAACCGGTCGACAACTTTGATGTCAACGCATTTCT